AAGAGGGAAAGAAAGCATATCCTTCATCTTAAGGACAAAAGCCAGAAGTCACATGTATTGCTTATGCCCCAATCTCATTGACCAGAATCTCTGCATCTGGCCAAACAGAGCTGCTGGGAAGTCTGGCAAATGTAGTCTCAGCGTAGCAGTTGGGAAGCTAAATTTTGGGTGAGCTACTATTAAGGAAGAAGAGAATGGATATTAATGGATACTTGGCTGCCTCTAGCTTGTTATTGTGCTATGTGGCCTTCTTCAGGAAGTTTTTCCTCCTACTCTGCCATAGCCTATGAATTCCCATGGTCTCCTGTATTTGGCACGGGCAACTGTGAGTGCTATGTTCCACTGTGTGAAGCTTCATGAAGCCAGAGACTGCATTCATTCTGTTTGCCACTGTAAACAGGTGCTCTGGCACCTGGTAGATGCTTAATACATATGTATTGGGTTGGCCCCATAGAACACGTGCATTGAGAGTCAAATCCCACATGGCCCTGACAGCTTGAAAAACATATTGGGCACTTGTGCATGCATGTCCCAAATCCTGATAAGATGAAGAAATGGAGGCCAAAAAAAAAAAAAAAAAAAAAAAAAAAAGATTCGTGGAAAAATGAAATTAAATGTTTATTTTGATGTAAAAAATATCTTAAATCCATGCATGCTTTTTTTCATAATATACTTTCTCCATGAACTTTCTGAAGAACCTGCATATAGTGATTATAGTTCAAGTTGAATCTTATTAAAATGGAGGGGGGGCTCGCCATGCACGGGGACACCCTTACTGCAGCATCGACGTTAGCGGGTGAGTCTCCGTTGGGGTCTGCCAGCATTGAAATGACACTAATCATGATGGTTTCCACGGTGTGAATTGGGAGCCAGCGTTCCTCTGGCTTTTCATAACCGTATTTATCTTCCCCAGGCTCATGAAGAATAGAAATGCACACATCACCATTTTTATCAACTGCAAAATGAGAGAATAAGAGTTTCAATGATTAATATATTGCTAATTTAATTACGCATAAAATATCCACTAATGTTAGCCTGATTCACATCATTAATACCTACATAAAACATCACATACTGGGAACCAGCAGTTAGCGTAATTGCTATGTTGCTGGACTCTCACATAGTCGACCACAGTTCGCGTCCCGGACCCAGTGGCTTAAAACTCACTCTGGATGCGTGTGCGTGTGTGCCCAAGATCCCGAGAGGAGAATGGAGGAGAAGGGATTGCGGCGTGACCATCCCCTCTGGGGAGTGATTTCTCGCTTTGTCTCTATGTCTCTCTATGTCTGCCTGGTGAGCACACGCGTCCTATAGTGAAAATCTCTCCAAAAAACAAACAAACAAAAAAACAAACAAACAAACAAAAAACACCACATACTCACAGAAGTTAACTTCCAAATTGGAATATACTAACACTTTAGGAAGATGACAGAGCTTACCAAACCCACCTAAAAAAAATTCCAGAGAACTTTAAGTCATCTTTTTTATTTGTATAAAACTTTTCAGATATCGAGATCAGCAAATGGCGTAAAGGCTACATCGCTGGACTCCCGTGTAGTCAACTGCAGTTTCAAGTTACGGACCCGGTGCCTTAAACTCATGCTGGACGTGTGTGTGTGTGTGTGTGTGTGTGTGCATGTGCGCGCACGCACACCCTCCCAAGATCCCAAAAGGAGAATGGAAGACAGGGGATTGCGATGTGGCCACCCCGCCCCCACCCCCCAGGGGATGATTTCTCGCTTTGTCTGTCTTTCTGATGAGCGTACGCAGCCTCTAGCAAAACCCTCTCCCCCTTAAAAAAAGTAAGTATAAGGGGCTGGTAGGTGGCGTAGTGGTTAAGGGCACTGGACTCCTATATGGCCGACCGTAGTTCAAGTCCCAGACCTGGCAGCTTGCTTTCTCACTTTCTCTCCTCCCCCCCTTCTCTGTCCCTCTCTGGTATAATTAAAAATGAATAAATAAAGTTAAATAACTTCTTAAGAAAAGAAAAAACTTAAATTAAATTTTAAAACAATTTAGAGCCAGCAGGTGGCATGGTGGCTAAGGTGATGTATACTCTCACATGACTGACCTTAGTTTGAGTCCTAGACCTGGTGGCTTGCTTTCTCACTTTCTCTCTCTTTCTCTCTCTGGACAAATTAAAATAAATGAATGAATAAATAAAATTAAATAAGTTACTATTTAAATAAATAAAAAAAAAAAAAAAAAAAAAACGGGCGGGCGGGGAGTAGGGGGGGTAAGGACCCGGGC